ATTATTATTTATTTTTTAATATTTATATATTTATTCTATAGTATTTTTTTTTTAACATCAATCTAATGAAAAAATGTAAAAATAAATTTAATAAAAAAGTTATTGAATTTGAATTGATAATTGTTTTGAACCGGTTTTGCATGTATTTTAAAATGCTTAAAAACTACGTATTGGATTTTTCAAGTATTTAAATACGCATTTTTCCAGTAATTAAAACGTCATAAACAATTTCCTAGGTTTAAAAATAAAATGTTTTCATTATTCAACAGTTAAGTATTATTCAATACATTTTATACGTTATTCAAAAAATTATATTGCGGAAATTACATTCTAAAATGCAAATGCCAATCTTTCTTTTAAATTTTGCAAGTATCGCTAAACGACGAACAATTATACTCTGAAAGCAATAAATACATTCATAAAAACTTATTTAACGATTACCTTTTGTGTTTATGTCAATACTTTCGCTTGCCTAACTGTAGTGCTTGCGGGATAAAATATTAGGGAGAGAAGACGCGACAATAAATGTTCGTATATTGCGTATTGTATTTGTGGTTACAGCAACATTAAAATTGCAGGATTAGGGATGGTTAATAAAAAGAGGGAATTTAATGCTCATTTATAGTTTTTAATTGAACACAATATTTTAATATCTTCCTGTATTTCGAAAAACTAGAATGCAAAATGTTTCCACTGCATTTTTTCTAATTTTTATTTTACTGTATTTTTTAATTTACTATATTTTGTCATTCTGTTGTTTTTTTTACTTTTTTTTTTTTGTATTCAAGGTGGTTATCAATTCTTAGGAGGGGGAGTTGTTTTGAAAATTAGAGATTTGTTGTGAAAATTAGAGATTGAATCCATTTCTCTGTACCCTGCCATTAATATGGCAGGGTACAGGGCTGTACTGAACAACGAACACTTAGGGGAGGGGTGCAAATAAAAAAAGCTTTTTCTCCATAAAAGTCTCACCAAAGTAGGGTTTTTTTTTGTTTAAAAGCCAAATTCAGTTTTAAACTCTGAGTCTTTAATTTTCCAAATTACTGACAAAGCCAACAGAATACTGTACACTTGGGATACACACCCCCGTCGAAACGGCCTTGGCAGGGGAGATTATTTTTGATGTGCGACTACTATTGCACACTACCTATAGGACGCAGCACATAAAAAATATAAGTTAAACGTTTAATAAGCGTACCAAATTTGTACCAAAGAGCATTATTTGTACATTCAATGTTGATTGGGTGTTTATAAACAGTTGCAACAAACTCATAGGCAGTTGTCTCCAAGATGGGAAAAAATAAAAATAATCGAATTTTGCTTAACACATTTTTTTTGAATAACAGTTTAGTTCGACTGCGCTATAGGATTAACAATTAGTAAAGCGCTCAATTACGATAAAGTAATATTTATCATCTTAATAAAGCTTCCACGTGTGTAAAATTTTTAAACTTGCTGTAATCAACTAAATTTAGATACACTAAATATTTAGTCGACTAATTTGAGTTAACTAAAAAGTTAGTCGACTAATTTGAGTTAACTAAAAAGTTAGTCGACTAATTTAATTAACTAAAAAGTTAGTCGGGTAATTTTAATTAACTATAAGGAAAGTCACTAGTTTAGTAAACTAAAAAAGTCAATTAACTTTAATTAAGTAAAAGGTTAGTTGGGTAATTTTAGTTAATTAAAAGATTAGTTGATTAATTTCAGTTAGCTAAAAAGTTAGCCGAATAATTTTAGTTAGACTAAAAATTTAGATTTGTATTTTTTGTTAGACTTAAACTAACCTCAACTCCCACCCCTATCTTTAATAACAGAAGAGAAATGCAATGACTTGCAATTAATTAATAAGTCCGAAACAATAATTTGGTAAAGAGCACCATCATCTGATTTATGAATCTTTATTGTTATAACCACATTAACATCATTCAGCTTTAATAACTTTTGTGTTTCATACCCTGTTTAAATACGACATATAACTGATTTTTTTTTTTTTTTTTTAATGTATAACAAACTAACATAATTTACCGCATTACCAAAACTTACAAAACCTAACCATGTGCACAATCTTGTGTTTGTGGGTGATTTTACATTACATATATACGGGATTTATGCTGTTTTTTACAATCATTAGATCCAGATAAATCTAAACATAACTTAAAATCTTTAGAGTCTAATCCATGAAATCGTCTTTTATTGAGTCATCCCTTTGATTTTACATTAAAAAAACAAATAATATTACAATAAACTGATGCTTGATTACAGATTTGCAGATATATCTTATTTGTATATTATCATATATCCTATTCATTCCATGTTTAAACAGTGAAATAAGTTCAAAATCAAGAGTTCACAAGATATACATTAAAACAAAACCTTTTTTTTTTAAATTAGTATTTACGATAATAAAGTATTTAAGTTAAAACTTTTCTTGCTTACAACTAGATATAACACAAAACAGAAATATGACAAAAATAATTATTTTAAAATGAAAAAATAAAAAAAAAGAATGTAATGATACAGTATTAATATAAGTGATTAGTAATGTAATCTTAAAAAATATTTTGATTTTATCTAAAGTTAAGGAGTTAAATTAAATTTTTTCGACAAGAAATCGCAAAACATATTCAGATGTAACAACAAATATAAGGCATAAAAAAAAATTATCTCGAGCGGATACAAAAATATCCCAAGCGGGTACATGACTTTAATGTTCTATGATTCGAAGTAAAAACAGATATTGACGTTCTTTTTTCAGCTACAACGTACACTTATAGTTACAAAAATTAGAAGAGGAAACCAAACTAAAAAGAAATAAAAAACCAATAAGTTAGTTTTTTTTATAAAACAGAACTGAAAAAAAAAATGCAAAAAATCAGAATTGCACTTTCAGCAACTACTGTTAAATATCAAAAAACTCCTTTAATTGTATAAACTATATCAGATAGTTTAAATAACTTATAATTTTTTGAAAACAGTTTTAGCCGTTAAGTGTTTGCGGATTTTCAAAACTTATATTGTGTCATGTAACTATTAAAAAATACTTGATTGAAATGGCATATACAAAGAAATTTGCTACCATCTGGAGATTTTGGTAAGATGAGTCATCCAAATATTAATTTATCTATAGTCCTCGCTAAGGAAAAAAACGTAGGTGAGTTCTCTAGTATAGTGACATCTATTCAACTTTTCGTTGAATTTGTAAGTTATTTTGTTTAGTAAACAGAACTGAAAAAAAAGTGCAAAAAATCAGAATTGCACCTCCACTTACTCCTGTTACCCACTCATTGTTTTATCTAGCCGATTTAAATTGACAGTCCATTTTTGACCAAAGATAATCTTTCCAGTTTTTACGACGATACCGGCTGCGTCACCGCGATTGATTTTGTGGTTGCATGAGCACTTCTCTGCGCATCTTATTATACGTTTATCCAAACATTTACAATTAGTTCTTACCGGAATCTTTGTAAATTTGTCTCCTAGACTTGTAGTGTCGTTTCTTGAACTTAAAGACAGTGTTTCTGGCATGATTAAAATCGCGTCAGCAATGTCTTGCTTCTAGTTTTCCAAGTTGGTTACTTAAACATCATCCGTGTTTACTGCATCGATGTACTGAAAAGTTATGCATGCTTTTCCCACATGTTAGTTTTTTTCGTAGCATTCCGCTTTTTCTCATTTGACAGATTTATTTTCTAATTTTTCATCGTCTGTCTTTTCTATTTCCATGAAACTGTTGATGTAAAAATTGCAAAGTAAGAAGCAGGTGTCCTAATGGAATGCCGCGACTTCATTTATCATTTTAGCGACGAACAACTCTTGTCTATTCTTTATTGACTCGTTTTCTTATAACATGAGTTTTTTTGTTTAACCAAAATCAACAAAGGTTTGGTATTCTTCTCTTATCTTTTATGTTTTGTTAACACAACGGATAAACGTTCTTTGATATTTAGTTGTCGGATTGTTCTTGCGCTACTATTTTGCTAACGTCAGCACATGAGAAAACTTGTCAGTACATGAGATGTCAGTACATTAAACGAATAATACATCTATGTTCAGTGAGAACCAGGTCTCACTGAACATAGATGTATTCCCCGTCCAATAAATGTGCACTACTTTGAACTTAGATTTACCAATACACGTTAGCGCTATTCAGTACACTATCCCGTGATTTCTTAAGTGACAGCTTTGCTCTCAGTTTTGACTAAACTATTTGTGTTCTTTATCGTGCTGGATTGATGTGCGTCTAGATTTCGAATTAAAAATCAGCGCTAAAGCAATAGGCTTTTACTATATTAGGAACGTGCTCCTCGTCATATAGGCACTTCATTCAGTCGCGTAGGTAGATAATTTAAAAAAGACAAAACGTTCTGCTGGTGAGTTAGGTGTTTTAGTAATCAAATACATGCACATAAAGATGCACATTTATCTTTGTAATTATTTATTAAGTTTTTAACATTTTCCAATTATTTCGGCAAAACCATAGGACAGGAAATACATGTTTTGACAAAAAAACTTATTTGTTGCTCAAATTTCTATAAAATTTAAAACTAAAACCCAAAAAAACTTATAAAATTGTTATCAAAGTTGCTGTAGCAGACTAAAAATGCATCCAGATTTAAATAGAGCGTCAAAGTTTGCCTTTTAAACAGCTCTTCATCAAAAAAACTTTGGAATTTCCCACCCTCTTTTGTTTTCAATAAAGCGCTTATTGATTTTTTTTTTTTTTTATGCAAATGAATCTAAAAATCAAAACAGTTTCTTTATTCAGAAAATAAAGGAAAGATAAAGACGAAAACAAATATATATATATATATATATATATATATATATATATATATATATATATATATATATATATATATATATATATATATATATATATATACATATATATATATATATATATATATATATATATATATATATATATATATATATATATATATATATATATATATATATATATATATATATATATATATGTATGTATCTAGCAAAGTCATAACATTTAAATTTAAATTGATAAATATATTATATTTTGTAAAAAAGGCAGACATTAACAAAAAAACTTCCAGTTACGTCAAATATTAGTAAAAAATGGCTGACAAGCCTCTGTTTTAAAACATCTTTCTTTAGTTATAATTAAAAACTTTCCGTTTATTATGTTCATCTCAACAACATTATTCCTATGTGTACGTCCATATATAACTTTCGTGCGAGAATCGTATCCAAAAACATCCAACAATTGAATTGAAAAAACTAATATATAAATATGTATATATATATAATATATGATATATATATATATATATATATATATATATATATATATATATATATATATATATATATATTATATATATATATATATATATATATATATATATATATATATATATATATATATATATATATATATATATATATATATGTATATATATTAGGGCTGTTCATGTGAACACAGGAAAAAAAATTTTTTCTCGGATTTGAATGCATAGTTGTTTATTTTGTGCCATTTGACATAGTAATTGACTGTGTAAAAAATCTTTCCTATCAGATAATGTTTAGGGGGTGCTCAAAGACCATAAAGTTTTACGAAAAACGTCAAAAACGTGGAAAAAGTTCCAAAGTTCCAAAAATTTCTAGAACCTGGTTAGTTAGATTTTTTCCACTGAAATATTGTCTGATTGCGTGCTATATAGATTAATTAAAGTGCAGCAGATTAACTGTCATCAGGGCACCAGACTAAAAAATGTCTGCTAGTGTTTAAAACAACTGTGTTTATATCATTTTGTTAAAATTTGTATTCATAATTTTAATACTATTATTTAACTCAATTTAGAATTTGTTCAAACAGAATAAAAAGGTTTACAAGTATAAATATTATTTTTATTTGGACTTTCAGTTTGACAACAAATGTATTAATATTTTGATAGTACCTAACCTTAGTAACCTATTACAGAAAACTAGCATGGTAGTCTGGTAGTGTATTGTTTGTTATTAAGTGCAGATAATAATAATTTCTAATTTGAAAATATTTATTTAATTTCTTTAGTAATAATTATTATTATATATTGCTGCAGCTGCATAAACCAACAACTGAATGATAAGTTTGTATAATATGGTATTGAGTTTTGATTTTCTCATAATTTTTCAGTTATCATTGAAATGGCAGCATCATCTCGTGTTGCTATCTCTTCACGACTTCAAACCGAAATCTTTTTAATTGGACAACCAGAGCCAAATCTTCCAGATAAAGTTCTTCCCTTAACATCTGATATTTTAAAAACATTTTTTTATCATCTTAATTCAACCAAAAAGTCAGTGCCTGAAAGTCTTAAAAAAACTGTTGATGAACTGATTATTATTTGGAATAAAGCCCGTATTCCGACAGCATTTCATCCGAATGTAGTCTTAAAGTTGAAAACTTTAGTCCCGGAATTTAAATTAATAAAAAAAAATAAGTCGAGATTGTCAGATTCTCAGAAATCAAGAGAGAAATCATTTACAGACACCATTGGCCTACTTTTTGACATTGCCCACAAGGATGCTGAAACCATGATCAGAATTGAAGAAGATAAAGAATTTTTATTGGATCAGAGATGTCAGAGTAAAATGGTGATGTTTGGAGAGGACAAAGAACTTTCAAAATTAGAAGCAAGAAATGAAGCAAGGAAACAAGCAGAGAGAGAACGAAAGCTAAAAGAAGAGCAAGGACAATCTGGTGCGAGTGCAATAGTTCCTGTTATTGAACCTTTACATGACGAAGGTTATAGTGATGACAACGATAACGATGCTGTTGATAATGACAAAATGGTTGATAGAGATTTTGAGATAGAAATCCCTGTTTATTACAGACAACAAGTCAGTAAAGCAAGTTCTTCAGGGTCAGCTGAATCAAGTTTAGCAAGTACTCCAAAACGACAATGTATCTTAGATACAATTCTTGACTCGCCTGATGTTTCATCAACATTAGACAGAATTAATCTATCTGACACAAAATTTACTATACAAGCAGCAGCAATTGCAAGGGCTGGTGGACAGAACCTCGATGATGGATCATTGTCACGTTCTACAGTCCGTATAAAACGAACCTGTCATCGATCAAACATTGAAGCCACTGTTCGAACTGAATTCTGCGATTTGGACAAACCACCATTAATCGTCCACTGGGATGGCAAACTGATGATAGATCGTACAAATTCTGCAGACCCTAAAGCAAATGTTGACCGGCTATCTGTAGGTGTGACAGGTCACAATGTTGACAAAATACTTGGAATAGCAAAACTATCAGCTGGAACTGGAGAAGCCCAAGCAAAAGCAGTTATTCATCTGCTTAATTTCTGGGACATAATTGGTGATGTAATTGGAATGAGTTTAGATACTACAGCCTCTAACACTGGCTCCGAAAATGGTGCATGTGTAGTTCTAGAGAAACATATAGGTAGAAATTTGTTATATTTTGCTTGCAGACACCATGTTCATGAGATCATAGTAGCAGGAGTGTTTGGATCACTATTTGGACCATCATCTGGTCCCAAACATACCTCTTTTCCAGAGATTTCAGCAATATTGGCCCAAAGTTAACCAAGGAAATTTTAAACCTCTGGATGAAATTCGAATGAAAATACCCCTGGTGCAAGAACTACAAAATGAAGTGATGGCATTCCTCAAAGAAAACCTGCATGTTAAAATGCCAAGGGATGGCTACAAAGAAATCATGGATCTATGTCTGTTAATACTTGGAAAACTGCCTGATCAAGAAGAGAAAAGTTATCATTTCAAGATCCCTGGTGCTTTTCACATGGCTCGCTGGATGGCCAAGGTTATTTATTGTTTTAAGATTTATTTATTTCGTGAAGAGTTCAAGTTGACCACAAAAGAGGAAAAAAATCTCTGTGAATTTTGCTTATTTGCTAGTCTGGTTTATGTAAAATCTTGGATATCATGCCCAAATGCCAGCGATGCTCCAGGTAGCGACTTGTTTCTGTTTCAGCAACTTAAGCAGTTTGCAGTTGTGAATAAAACGATTTCCGAAGCAGCAGTCAAGAAATTTCAAAACCATTTGTGGTACCTTTCACCAGAATTGGTTCCACTAGCTTTATTTTCAAACAAACTTAAAACGGAAGAGAAGCGAAAAATGATTTCCAACATGAAATTACACGGTGAGAACTGGTCTGAAAGGTTGATCAAATTAAAGAACATTGAAAGTCTAGAGAAGAAATCTCTGGACATGCTGGTGACATCAGTTTCAGCAAGTGCGTTGCGGTCAATGAAGGTTGATATTGATTTTCTGTTCAACAACGATCCAGCTACCTGGAATGATTCCCCAGAATACCAAGAAGGAAAAAATTTAGTATATTCATTGAAAGTAGTAAATGATGCTGCCGAACGATCTGTGGCTTTAAGGTCGATGTTTAATAAATCGATTACAAGGAATGAATCTGAAATGCAGAGGTTAATTCAGGTGGTTGAGGATCACAGAAAGCGAGTGCCAGATGCCAGAAAGTGTACTCTGAAGAGTTATAGTCCTCGCTAGCATTAACATTGCACGAACTATAACATTACGATAATTAAATGTTAATTGTTCATATTGTTTTGAGTTGACCTACTTAGTAGTTGATAACGGTTTGAGAAACTGTTACTCCTTTACAATAATTTTTTTTGCTTATAATTCGTATTTTAATCAATGACAAAGAGTCAAAAATCTTAGTGTTTTATTTTGGAAAAATTCTGATATAACAAAAACCGCAGAACTTTAGTCGTATTGTAGTATTTTATTTCATTAATTTCTCTGCTAATAAACCAGTATAAAGTGGATGTGAATTGTAATTTATATTCAGAATTTATACTTAGAGATAATTAAAACCGATCAAATCTGAAAAATCTAATTAACCGGGTTTTAGAAATTTGTGAAACTTTGTTACTTTTTCCATGTTTTTCACATTTTTCGTAAAACTTTATGATCATTGAGCACCCCCTAAACATTATCTGATCAGAAAGATTTTTTGCACAGTTAATTAATATGTCAAATGGTACAAAATAAACAACTATGCAATCAAATCTGAAAGAAAAAATTTTTTTGGACAGCCCAAATATATATATACATATATATATATATTATATATATATATATATATATATATATATATATATATATATATATATATATATATATATATATATATATATATATATATATATATATATATATATATATATATATATATATATATATATATATATATATATATATATATATATATATATATATGAGTATGACATCATCATGCTTACCTAACTCAGCAGTATAAGATATAAACAAATATATATATACGTATATATATATATATATATATATATATATATATATATATATATATATATATATATATATATATATATATATATATATATATATATATATATATATATATATATATATATATGTATATATATATATATATATATATATATATATATATATATATATATATATATCATATATATATATATATATATATATATATATATATATATATATATATATATATATATATATATATATATATATATATATATATATATATATATATATATATATATATATATATATATATATATATACATATATATATATATATATATATATATATATATATATAATATATATATATATATATATATATATATATATATATATATATATATATATATATATGGTAGTGAAAAAAAATTTCAAATAAACTGCAGTTTTAAAGAGCGCGTTAATAAACCAGACCAGAAAAAATTTGCCTGCCCAAACGAAACCCTCAGTCAATGTAGCAGCACTCCCTTGCGAGTCAGGCTATTTGTCAGTCGATGTAGCAGCACTCCCTTGCAAGTCAGGCTATTTGTCAGTCGATGTAGCAGCACTCCCTTGCGAGTCAGGCTATTTGTCAGTCGATGTAGCAGCACTCCGTTGCGATTCAGGCTTTTTGTCAGTCGATGTAGGAGCACTCCGTTGCGAGTTAGGCTATAAGATAGTCAATGTATCAACATTTACGCATGTTTTAAAAATGTTTTTTAATAAAACAAAAACAATAACACAACTATTAAAAAAAAACTTTCTGGTCGTTATAATTGCGGTTTTTTAAAAAAATAATAAAATTTAATGTACTTCCGCATAAATTTAAGTGCTTTGACATTTCGACGACAATCAAATACAAAAACAAAAACATAACATTTACGCATGTTTTAAAAATGTTTTTTAATAAAAC